TATTATTATTATTATTATTATTATTATTATTATTATTATTATTATTATTATTATTATTATTATTATTATTATTATTATTATTATTATTATTATTATTATTATTATTATTATTATTATTATTCCTTTTCTCAGAGCACAGGGCACTTGGAAGCTCAAGCTTGAACTGAAAGAAATACAGCTAAAATGCAATAAAGTATTACATGACAACACAACTCAAGAATTAATATAAATAACCAATATTGGTCAGAATGACTGAAATAACTATGTTGAACTCTATGATAATTTATAAAATAGGAAGAGGAGAGAGCATAGTGGAACAATGGTCAAAGCAGGACAAAAAGTGATGTTAGCTGAATTGCTGATGATGTTGCAGTGATTATGTCACTGAGTAATCTCCACAGCAAATGTTTCATTTTGCTAATTCATGTGAAAATGTATGGTATATCTGTTTATATGTTAATGCTAAGATACCTCAATAAGCCATCCTGTTAAAAGCAAGCACCTTGATTGAAACAATTTTAGATTAGGCATCCTTCAGTCTTGAGAGACTATGGTCCCCTGTTCTGAATAGAGGATTTACTCTCACCTTCGGTCTTACACAAGTCTTTAGTTCTGTTTTTTAAAACTTATTTATTATAACCGATTTGGGATCCCTTCGCTCCCCATGCTAGTACCACAGATCACAAAGCAAGGGCCCTGCCCAGGCTTCTGCTGGTACCCTGAAAGAGTAGATTTGGTATTGGTCTCAGGGACACAGATTAGGAGGCAGGTTTATTTTATTTTATTTATTATTGGGTTTATATCCCGCCCTTCTAGACAGAAGTCTATTCAGGGCGGCTCACAAGATATTGTGCACAAACAAATAAAAACAATTAGGTTGAGTCCCAGTTGGTTGAGAACCTGCACCTTCAAGAAAAAAAAAAAACAAGACTGTGGTATTGACAGTAAAGCTCACTATGTTAAAGACTGATGAGACACAGAAATACAGAATTTATTTATTTATTTATTTATTTATTTAACTTGTATGCTGCCCACACTACCCAAAGGTCTCTGGGCGGCTTACAACTATTAAAATACAATAAAAATATAAGACAATTAAAATACAATTAAAATATATACTCTAAAAATTACCATCAGGACCCACAGTTGATATTATTTCAATTAAAAGCCTTCTGGAACAGGAGAGATCCCAGAAAGGCTATTTTAGTCTGGAAGGTCTCGCTGGAGACGATGCCTATTTATACAGATCAACAGAAGGAGGATAGTTTGAGAGAGGATAGTTTGGAAACCGCCAAGGGGTTTTCCTTCTGTCACTGCAAGAGTCTCTCAGGCAGGCACAGATGAGCTACATTTATTTATTTTTTTACATTAGCAAACCCAAGAGAGAGTCTCACTCCGTGTGGCTCAGAAGCATGTCTTTTGGTTCAGGATTTTGATGGAAATGACCAGGCAGGAAGACCAAGGAAAAGGAGTCTCTCTCTCACAGAGAGATATATGTTTATGTTTATATATTTATTAGTTACAATATGTAAACAAGAAATGACAACTAAATAGCAAAGTTTTGCAGGATGCACTTGAAAGATGATCACTAAAATACCTATCCAGACAGGGTGAGAGGAAGAAGTGTTAGTTGCCAGGGTCAGGAAGAGCGTTTTCTGGCTGAGTGGGAATTCGAACCCGCATCCCCCCGAGTCTTTGTTCCCTCTGGGTGCTTAACTTTCTGTGTGAACCTATCCGTGTTTCTCCAGTTGCACACCTCTCGGTTTCCAGCAGCCCCCCACTTTTTTTTCCAAAGTGCAAAATTTATTTGGAGGGCACTGATGTAACGTTAGGAGGTGGAACTTTTTGCAAGCGTTATATTTTGCAAAATATTTCTCCCTCCGTCCTGTCTCTCCCCCCCCCACTGTTTGACATGGAAAGCAGAGCCAGTTTGACAGGCGTCTGGGTGGGGTGAGGATGTTGATTGGCTAAGAGAAGGAGGGGGCGGGGCTTGTGAGATGAGGTGATCTGAGACCGTTGGAGTTCAGTTGGTGTTGAGGGGCGAAAACTGCCCTGAGGCAGAGCCAGGGGAGTTGGGGAGGCGAGAGGGCTAAATGCCTGTGCTGTTCCTCCCAGCCGGCCAAAAGCCCTTCTTTATTTTCCTTTCCCTTAAAGAAGGGCAAGTGGCAGAGAAAAAAAGGCGAGGGGAGGCCAGTTTTCCTCCTCAGAAGGAGAAACGGCGAGAGAGCCAGGGTTGGGGCAGGATCTGTGAGGGGGATTAATTTTGTTCCAGAGGAAGAGGAACATTAAGAGCTAGTAGGAGAAGAGAAACCATCTGACGTTACCATAATAAGAAATATAATTTTATTTTAACTACATCGATGGCCGTTGTGTCTGTGGCAGCAAAAGCCCTGAGAAAGGGCAGGGAAGCATTGGAGGGGGGGCTTGCAGGTCTATCAGCCTTGGGGTGGTACACCTTTTATGTTTTTCTAAACCAGCTTTCAAATATAAAATGAGAAACACAAAGGCAGAAAGAACAAAAGGCTTCCCCTGCCTTGCCATCCAGCTTTGGGAGACAAAAGGCTCCCAAAGTCCAGGAGGCCTTCTCCTTCTGTGTGTTTCTGACTCTTTCCATTCTTCCTCCCCACATCCCATCCAGCTTTGGGAGACAAAATGGCTCTCGAAGTCCAGGAAGCCTTCTTGTGTGTGTTTCTGACTCCCATTCTTCCCACCCAACGGCTTGGAAGGCTGATTATTTTCCTAAATTAATTTTCTGATATAAAATGAGAAAAGAAAGCCAAAGAAAGAAGACTTGTCAAGTCTTCTACTTCATCTACTCTTTTTAAAGACAAAATGGCTCTCAAGTCCAGGAAGCCTTCTCCTTCTGTCTGTTTCTGACTCCATTCTTCCCACCCAACAGCTTGGAAGGCTGATTATTTTCCTAAATGCAGAGCCAGTTTGACAGGCGTCTGGGTGGGGTGAGGATGGTGATTGGCTAAGAGAAGGAGGGGGCGGGGCTTGTGAGATGAGGTGATCTGAGACCGTTGGAGTTCAGTTGGTGTTGAGGGGCGAAAACTGCCCTGAGGCAGAGCCAGTGGAGTAGGGGAGGCGGGAGGGTGTTCAGGCCCCGTTCTGCCTTCTTTCCTTCCTTCCCTGTGGAAGATAAAGCCAAATGCCTGGACTGTTCCTCCCAGCCGTCCAAAAGCCCTTCTTTATTTTCCTTTCCCTTAAAGAAGGGCAAGTGGCAGAGAAAAAAAGGCGAGGGGAGGCCAGTTTTCCTCCTCAGAAGGAGAAACGGCGAGAGAGCCAGGGTTGGGGCAGGATCTGTGAGGGGGATTAATTTTGTTCCAGAGGAAGAGGAACATTAAGAGCTAGTAGGAGAAGAGAAACCATCTGACGTTACCATAATAAGAAATATAATTTTATTTTAACTACATCGATGGCCGTTGTGTCTGTGGCAGCAAAAGCCCTGAGAAAGGGCAGGGAAGCATTGGAGGGGGGGCTTGCAGGTCTATCAGCCTTGGGGTGGTACACCTTTTATGTTTTTCTAAACCAGCTTTCAAATATAAAATGAGAAACACAAAGGCAGAAAGAACAAAAGGCTTCCCCTGCCTTGCCATCCAGCTTTGGGAGACAAAAGGCTCCCAAAGTCCAGGAGGCCTTCTCCTTCTGTGTGTTTCTGACTCTTTCCATTCTTCCTCCCCACACAACAGCTTGGAAGGCTGATTATTTTCCTAAATGAATTTTCAGATATAAAATGAGAAAAGAAAGCCAAAGAAAGAAGACTTGTCAAGCCTTCTACTCTATCTACTCTTTCTTAAGACAAAATGGCTCCCAAAATCCAGGAAACCTCCTGTACTAGTTATTTTGAGGACACCCAACCTTAACCCTGGGGTTGGGGGGACTGAATCACATCTTGATACCCTTCTAGCTTAAAGGGCAGATGCCAGGATACTTTTTTGAGAAGAAAGCCAAAGAAAGAAGACTTGTCAAGCCTTCTACTCTATCTACTCTTTCTTAAGACAAAATGGCTCCCAAAATCCAGGAAACCTCCTGTACTAGTTATTTTGAGGACACCCAACCTTAACCCTGGGGTTGGGGGGACTGAATCACATCTTGATACCCTTCTAGCTTAAAGGGCAGATGCCAGGATACTTTTTTGAGAGCCATGACAATTTGAGTGGGTTAACAGGGGCCTGGTACTTGAATGCATAAGCAAGATCAGTCTATCAGGATCACATTTTCCTGAGCATTTTCCACGCGTGAACACACACCTGGCACAAATCAGAAGGCTGTCTGTTGCTGTCTTTCAGCTGGATTTTACAAGGGCTTTGAGTGAAGTGGAAACGACACTAGGGTGGCCCCAAAAATGGTTGCAGGGCTGAGGAATCAATTCAAGGGGTCGCTGGCTGCTTCCTCGTCTCTTAAGGTCATCTCTGTCTGAAGTAAAACCTGGTGGCCAGATTTGTAGAGGTTGTAATACATAAATGGCCTTGAGGTCATTACTGCAAGACATTAGGGTGGCCCCAAAAATGGTTGCAGGGCTGAGGAATCAATTCAAAGGGTCTCTTCCTTGTCTCTTAAGGTCACCTCTGTCTGAAGTAAAACCTGGTGGCCAGATTTGTAGAGGTTGTAATGCATAAATGGCCTTGAGGTCATTGCTTGACTGCAAGATGCCCACTTTAAGCCACACAATCTCCAGAGAAAAATCAGGGCTTGGTTATACATAGATTTATATGTTGAATGAATAGCCAACGTTTTTATGACACAAGAACATCAAGTATGTGTTGTACATAAGCCAGATATCAGAACGCTGTTTCTACTGCAGGTACAGAATGAGAACCCAGTGATCTTTTAATGAAATAATTTTGGCATAAAGGACCCATCACTGTCAAAAGAACTGTGGTCCAAATACATCGATCTGGAGGGGCTCAGTTTCCTCACTTCCCACCCTGCTTTCCAGACAGTTCCCTACCTTCCAGTTAAGGATCCTTTTTTGATAGCCACAACAATTTAAGTGGTAAAGAGGACCTCTACCACATGCAGTGTTTCCCTGCGGCAGCGGCAAAAGCCGGAAGGAAGAGGAGGAAGCGTCTGCTCCCCAGGGAGCAATGCAGGCTGAGCCTGGAGATATAGCAGGCGGCGGCTCTTACAGAGTCCTTGGCCGCCGCTCCTCGTGCCTGGGCTGAGGGCTGCAGTGGCGCTGGCCTCCTTCTCTTGCCACCCCACCTAGCCTACCCCCCCGATCTGCCCCCCTCCCTTCTTCTCTTTGGGGTAGCTGGTGCCGCTGAATATGCGCCCTCCTGCTGCTGCTGCTGCTGGGGCCGCCACCGCTCCCGCCCCTTCTCCAGCGCGTGCGCGTGGACACACACACACACATTGCCCGGGTCTTCCCTCCCCGCTCTCGTGGCTAAGCGCTCTGGAATCCCAGGGAGGGACCGAAGGCACCGCTTCCAAGGTCTATGTTCAGTGGTGGAATTCAGGCCAGCAAACGGTTCTGCAGAACTGATAGTGTGTTAGGTACCGGTTCTGTAGAACCGGTGTGAACCTGCTGAATCCCACCACTGGCGTGTCGACAATAATTTTATAGGTTCTGAATTGTCCCAAACATTTGACTTCTTCTCCCCTTGCCCATATTGATTAACAGAATACTTGTTTCTTAGAACCGGGGAGCCGGACTAAAGCGCTCTTTGTCGGTAGGCTTCCTGAGGGGGGCACTCCTCACCGCGCATAGTGTCCCACAACAAGGGTGTGACGCAACTCCTTCTTAGAAACCTTTATTATGTTCTGGTTCCTCACAAAGACGCCAGCTGCATCTATCTTCCTCACACTGCCACCAGATGTTTTCTTTTTAACATCAATCAATTAAAGGACACACCAGTTAACAAATGCATTAAGTTTATTTATCAAGGTGGGGTTAATGATTGGTTGAAAATAACAGTGTCAGTCACAGGAAGCAAATCACATATATAAACTAGGCTGTATTTAACTTCTTCTGTTACTTCAATATATTTACCAATCTCTGATCTCAATCTACCTCAATCAATCCCCTTTGAACCTCTGCTCTCAATCTTTGTCCTTTCACTCTACCTTGCAGTTAAGGATCCTTTTTTGATAGCCACAACAATTTGAGTGGGTTAACAGAGGCCTGGTACTTGAATGCATGAGCAAGAGCAGTCTACCAGGATCCCATTTTCCTGAGCATTTTCCAGGCGTAAACACACTTCCACTGCTTTTATCACTCTCTTTCAGTGGTTGAGCAATGATATTATAAGATTATCTCTTGTTGTTAAATGCTGTCAAGTTGGAACTGGTTTATAGTGACTCTCATAGGGTTTTCTACATCCCCAGTGAGTTTCCTAGACCATGATTACACTATCCACCACACCACACCGGGTACCTCCATAAGGTTATCTGACATAAGCTGAATTTCGCTGCTTTTCCGGAAGTGAACTAGGAACTAAATGCTCCTCAGTCTGCAATTAGAGGTGATCCAGGAGAACTGTAATCAAAGAACAGAGATAAAGTATACATCCCATTGTTCTATTGCCCCATAAACCATGGGTTGGCTTCTCAAATTATACAGCTTTCTTCAGATCTGATCTAAGGTGTATCACCCACGGGTAATAAAGTACTGTATACGATTCCACCAGTTCTTTCTGGGATAACCTGGCAACAGAACCTGTATGGACGGATTTCAATGTCACATTTCACCATGAATATTTAACTATCGGCTTCAAGCAGCTGACCTGAACATCTATTTCTGTTCATGTCAAAGCCAGCATTTGACCACCAGAAAGACAAATAAGCCATTACTTACACTTTCAGGAAGCATCAGCTATTTCACATGACGTAGGCCCTAGGGCTGTTTTTAAAAGTGCTCATTTGCACCATATTTAAACTGCCAGATTTCTTCTGGAAAGGTGTCATGCTGTCCAGCCCCATGGGATTCCAGTCTTCTCTGCCAGTGTTCCTGAGAGGAGGAGGAGGAGGAGAGGGACCCGTGCGTCATCTCCCAAGACAAGGGAGTATGTGTCCCAGTGGAACATCTGCTGCTGGGTCCTTCCACTTCTCTTGCAGAACTTCAGCCTATTGGGCCTCTGCTTCTCTGCAGGACCAAGCCCTCCCAACCTCTGTACTGTGAGGCAGTGGTCTTCCTTCTATCTCCCTTCCTTGCCCCTGATTCAGTATGGAGTCCAATATGGCTAGGTTGTTTCCTCTTCCTCTATTGCTTCTTTTTCAGAAAGCCCTCCTCAGTTTGTCTGTGTTATGTGTCTCTACAGCTTTATTTGTTTATTTATTTATGTGGAGGCAAAGTCTTTAATGAACAATAGAGTTTGGGCTGCTTTTCAAAAGTTCAGGAGGAATGGATCCAGCTTAAATTCCTTTGGGAGGTAACTCCTCAATCAAGGTGATACTGCAGAGAAAGCTCTGCCTTGTATCCTCTCCAATCTTGATTCTCAGGCTGAGGGGGCCACACAACAGAATCTCCACGGAGAAGCTCACATTCCTGTTGGGTTTATAGGGAGGGGTGATATTTCAGATTTCCTCACTATTTAAAGTGTTCAAGATCTATTGACGGTATCAGCTTCTAATTAAACTGCAAAAATAAGGAAGTGATATAGTATAGTAGTCCTCACCAAACTGGGGCTGGGGGACCTCAAAAACTGTTGGACACAAGTTTTCAGGATTCTTGACCGCTAGCCACATTGGCAGGGGATGGGGGGCAGTCAAAACACATGGTGGGCATGAGCTGAATCTCATGAGGCTAAATGAGAAAACCATGATTTCCACAGATATGGCTAATTCTGACAGTCCTTGGCTGGGTCCCCTTCTCTCTGTAGGGATTAGGTATGGGATTGGGGTGAATGTTAAGATTAGGCATCATAACAGATATTAAGCATATCGACAGTTATAGGTTAACTCAATGCACATGGTCTCTGTCTTGGCAAGGAGCAGCGTGGCTCAAAAAAGTGATAACCTGACTTGGCTTTTTAAAACAAATTTTAACTTATAGACCAAGTGCCTAAGGGTTTTTCCCCCAAAGGGATTCTAGAGTTAGCTCCCATTTCTGATTTTAATTGCTAACAACAGGAACAAATGACTCTTTGGGGGGCTCTCGAAAGTTGGATCAGTCAATTGACCCATTTGATCAATGTTTTGTTCCAGTTGGTCAATATGTTTACCTTTGTTTGATGATAGATTTGAGTTATATATTCAAAACAAAAGAAGCTAGTATGCAGCTTGATCTAGATCAGGACTATCCTGAGATGAGTACTTACAGTTCTGGATAACATTAAGACTTATTTGCAGAAAGTGAGTTTCTGTAGTCCAGCAGGGATTTGAACCCAGGTCTCTCGAGTCTGACTCTGATATACAGTCCTCTCTGCACCCCACTAGCTTTGCAATGAAGTTTAGTGATTTGGGGTATGTTTATTTTTTCCTTCTGAACTATCCTCTGATGAGTTTCTCGCCTAGCAGACAATACATTTTCCGTTTCTTGCTTTATCCCAGTTTCCAAACGAAATATTCTATTCAACAATCACAGACTGCACTAGACTGCTGTACTCTGCCAGTAAATACCAAATAATCCTAATAAAATTGACCTCAAACCAAAAGACTTGACAGTTCCCTCAACCGTAAAAGAAATCCTGCCTGCTTCATGTAATGGAAATAAGGACAGTCATTTATTGGTCATTGAAGAAAGAAGACAGACACAGAGATGTAAAACTTAATGATTTACTCTTGGCCTCATGTATGGCAGGCAAAGATGTATAAAATAAGCTGTTAAGCCTTATCACATGGTTTTGAGGGGTCGCCAGTTTTATGCAGCTTATAAGTACATGTTTCTGGATCCACCACTGCTGTGCATCCAGGAACGCTTACAGTGCCACCATATCTGAAAAAAAAATTAAGCAAGGTTTAACCAGCAAGGTTTATCTTAACTTTCAAAAGGTTTTGCCTTAAGGGCTTGGAATTAACGAAGAGTATTTTCCCCACAACTTTATATCGCTATAAAGGTATGCTCTTTCCCCAACCACGCTGTTGAAGAGAAACCTGTTATTAAAAACAATTAAACGTATTTTAGCATCTTGGAGATTAACATATGGCCTTGTGCATCTGGTGACATAGATGAATCAGCAAAGAAAACTGTTTAGTCTTGAAGGGGCCACAAAACTCTTGTCTGGTTTTGGTGCAACACAAATACTCTCTCTCTCTCTTTGGGGCATTCCTTAGGCTCTCTTTTACTAAAATATACCCATCTTTAATGCACAATATAATTTGTAGTCAGAGTTTGGTTTTCACGACAACAGATTATTTGAATTCCTTACCTGCCCAATCAAAACTTCTTGCCCATAAATAAAAGCTTCCTTGCTCACTTGCAAGAGCTCCTGAAACATTATTTATTTTCCTTCCACATCTATAATACAGGCAAACCTGGTGTGCCAGTTTTAAGTGGCTAATCACCTTCCCACCCTCTAGCCCTGCTTATGGACTGAACAGGTTGAGCATGGGGAAAAGGCACTGGGCTATGTTTTTAGCCTCAAACTCTTGCTGCTTTTCCCATGGTCGCTGTCACAGTTAATATGTATGGGATGTACTGTGAAGCAGGATCTCTCATATATTTAGGACAGGTCCTTCTACTCGCATCCTAACGGTCCAGAGGAAACAGGTGATAAGAAGGCATGCAATCTCCATGCCAACTTCTTAATTTGCCAAAGGTTACACCGCTTGCAGGACACCCACTGGGTATCAGTAATAGGATTTTGGCCAATGCAGGCATCATTGCAGAAACAGATCTTCTCTGCCCTGCTCTGCATAGAAAGAGACTGATGATGTTGCATCTGGTGAGCCTTAAGAGAGACTTTCAGAAAGAATAATCACATAGATATACTATGGGCATTTTTCCTACCTGGTACAGCATGACATTCCTGTTTTACCACAGCTACATTCCAGACACTGGGCTGTATTCCACTTGGAGCCCACTGGATGTTTGCTTCCGTCGAATGGATCAATACACCCATCTGGAGTTGCCAACGGACCTGGCAGAAAACATTTCTGTGAGTTTTCTGTCCAGTTGTACCACATTTCTTTAAGTGCTGATGGAACCCACCCACTCCTTTTTAAACATCAGAGGTCTTTGGGGAAACTGTTCTAGGAAATTGTAATAACCACATGGTAGAAATATTGTAGTTCTCTGAGACAGTGGTCAATCTTTAAATGTTGTCTCAGCAGACAGATGGTTAGACAAATGCATGCGTGTGGAAAAGGCATGTCAGGGAACTTAACATGCAAAAGATGCAAAGAAGATGGTTAACTGTGGTTGGCAAACAGTAGTAGCCTGGAGATCACAAAGACATCTTCATGTACACAAAGTGGATTTACACATGAATAGCAATGAAAAGGTTCTATAGCCCAGTCCAAGAACAGGAGACAGAGTTTATCACCTTGGCCACTTCAACGCTTGTGAGTGGAGGGTTGTAATTAGTGGGCATAAACTACAGGCAAAATTGGTAACTATTTCACAAACCACAACTGGATGGCAGTAAATATGAGCAATAGATGAGCTCTTCGACCCATGTTCTGGGAGAAAAAGCCTTTGTCTCTTTCCTAGCCACAGGAGACAGAATGAAACTTTCTGAATTTGGATCAGTTCCAGACATCTTAGATCTGCCTTAGAACTAAGTTCCAGTTAATCTTCTGATTTTCACCTGGATCTTCTGCAGAATTGATTTGATTTGATGCCCCTTCTATTAACTCTCTGCATTCATAAATCTATGTGGCCTCCATATATGAAACTCAAAAACAAAGTAGAGGGGTGTACAGCCCCAAAAGAGTTACCATAGAGGAATGGGAATGCTGACCCCCTGGAGATTTGACCCTGTTCCTCAGCATGAAAACTATGCTCAAAAAACCAATCCAAGCCCAGCAATTTAATAGTACCAGGAGTGATTTATGGAGGATGTGGGGATTAAGGGCCCAGAGCTTTCCATCATCAGCTGCAATACTCTCTGAAAATCATTCAGAAGACCGCCCATTAGTCCCAAAAGAGACTCAGGACATAGATCTGACCAAGCTTAGAAACATTACTTTTGATATTCCCCCAGAGCCTACCACCCAGCTTGGCCACAAAGGATGCTGGCTGGGGATTCTGGGACCTGTAGTTAAAAATGACTTGCCCAAGATCTAAGACTTGGGGTTTTAGTTTTTGCAGGATTCTGTCATGCAGATCAACTTGCATTAAAAAGGGAAATAAGTAAGTCCTACGGCTACATCCTCATCCCCATCCAACTCAACCTGTGGCACTTTTCTAATATGGCAGAATCGTCAGTATGATATAGGAGCCTTACTGAAATTGCAGGCTCCATCACATGAAGCCAGAGAGAGACACAAGACAGTCAGGCTGAGGAAGGCTCTCTGAAAAGGAATCAAAAGAGGAGCAGAGTCAGTCAGAGATATAAAAATCTTGTCATCATTTACACATCAAATTATTTTTAATATTAAGGCACAGGAGGGAAAAAAACCCAACACATTCCATGACTTAGGTGAGCAAATGCAGCTTTAAAACGGTCAGTCGGCTGGTGTTAGATAATAAAGTAAAGAGAGGTGTATTTTGTGAGGGAAAAGGGGATCCGTGAATACTAACAGTCTACAAGTGAGTGGGAAATGTGGCTAGCGAAAGAGCTGTAGGAAAGACTTCTGTGAGCTGCATGAAATACCGAGTGTGGAAGAAGCTGAATCAGGATCTGGATGAACAACAAGCTCTGCGAATGAAAGTACTCCAAATGAATGACGTGTCTGTAAATTTATGAATTTAGCCATAATGAGACATTTTTTAAAAAAACAGGCGATAAAATGATTATTGTGGAATGGTTCTATAACCTAAGCATTTTGTCCCGAAAAAAAAAGAAAAGAAATAAAATCAAATTCTGCTCCCGGATTGTCTAAATTCTATCCACTTGTGGGTAAAGCCAGGTTTTCTGGGGGATTCTGCTGTCATTGTTCAGATGTAGTCAAAAACGGTGACAAAAAGATAGAAATGGGCATAGATGAGAAGAGAGAAGTTAGGTTTCTTGTGGCTGTGAACCCCACAGTACTCCCCACAGCAATCCAACTCGAATGCTTAGGGAGCTATTGTCTAAAAAGCACTTTATTTCTGGCATGAGACAGAAGCAGGAGTCGGAGGGTTGCCCACAATTTTAAGAACTATTCACATAGCGTGATGTGGGTAAACTCCATTAACGTTCCTTCTTCTCTGCCACCAGTCTGCTTCATGGTGGCCTTCAGAGACATATTAAGGAGTCATTCTGGCACCTGAGGCCAGCAGCACTAGCTTTCACACAGGCTGCAGGGGGTGTAAGACTCTGGGGAAAAGGAGAAAAATGTGGTGTCCCCCCCCAAAAAAAAACAATAGACAGAGAGAGAAAGTTTATGCTTTCAAAAAAGAAAGTTAATCAGGGAAGGAGACATTGCATTTGTTCACCTAACATCAATCACTGGTAGATTCACCCCAAAATTTGGGTGTCCTGGGGCAAAGCCCTAGTTGCACCACCCTAGTTACAGCCCCGGTAGCCTTCCGGCTCCCCCCTTTTTCATCCAACGAGAGTAAGTGGCCAACTGGATGTCACAAAGGCATCCAAAGCTTGTATTTCACTTACTATCCTCGGTTTTTAGGGTGTGGTGAAGAAGTTCTTCCTAGCAAGAGGCAGCAAGAGGATGGTAGAGAAGGCACTGTTTCTTTTGGTGTCTGAGGCATCCACTACTCATATTTATACAAGCCAGAGGGAAAACTGGGAGATGTCTACCACCCCTTAGGGGTACGTCGGCTTGGTTTCAGATAAAATCGGTGGTTGTTTTGCAACAAAAGGATGAGGGTAACAGGAAGAGTCTTATTTTGAAGGCATTTGGAGGCAAGAGGGCACCCAAGCCAGAAGCAACCCCTTGTGCAACACAGCTGCCAAAAGATTGTACAGAATTCTTCACAAATATTCCCAGTGAAAATCTAGCTTTGGAAATGACCTGCTCACAGAAGTTAGGATCCTGCAGCACTCAAAAGAAATTTGACCATCAGAGGAAACCTGATCAAAAGAAGTGAAGCTTCAAGATATTTGGGGGGGGGAGGGTTTTAGTCATTAAAAGAACCAAAGGTCTTTCAGCCAATTAAATAGTTTGTGGCTTTCCTCAGAGGGTATAAAAAAAGAAAAAGGGGGCAGTATGTAAGCCACAAAAATAGTATTTTATAAGATGATCAGGTAAAAAAACATTTATTCTCATTTTATAAGATGATCAGGTAAAAAAACATTCTCGTTCACAGTTGTCACTGTCTTATATTTATCATTGCTTTAACAACACCTACAGAGACCTCTACCATACTGCTTTTGCTCCCACTTCTGAGTGTCCAGCTTTCTCTCTGGCACCTAGGCCTCACATCTGCCAGACTGGCCATATCCTCTAATGCTTCACCAGCAAAATTGGCATCAGCCTTTCTCCCTAAGGCTTCGCCTAGGATGCGGGCAACTGAGCAGCTGATTTCCTCATGGTCAGTGGCTTCCTCAAGCTGCAAGGTATCATCTTCCTCTTTTGAATGATAGGGATGATAAGGGAAGCAGGTTCTGTCATTTCCTTGACTATAGAAGATTTGAGTGCTGGACTGTAATTTTGAAACCTCTCTGTGGTCAGAGAGATAAACCAAACAAGGAGAACTTGCTTTTATTACCTACTGTAGAACATTCATGCTCAGCCAGAAGTATGCAGAGGTCATAGGACAGATCAGGATATGGACCAGTCATTAATACCTCTGTGATGTTGCAAAACAGTTGACCCATTCCAAAGATGACCTTTGTCGTAACATGACGTTGACTTAGGTCAGGGAATGTCCTCCATTTCATAGGAATCTAAGGATTGTTGCTGGACTGATTCTGCTGCAGATATGATTCCTAGGTTGCCCCAAGAAAATTAGTGTATTATGTGATTATTGAATGAATGAATTAATTAATTAATGACCGTATAATAGAGTGAAATCCTTCTGTCAAACAGTTTCTGTGGAAGCAATGCATGTCATTTGAAAAGCAAGACATGCCATTTGATATATCACATGTACAGTGGTGCCTCGCTTAACAAGCGCACCGTATAACGACGAATCTGCATAGCAATCCCGTTTTCGGGATCGCTAATGTGGAGGCATAGCGTCGGCCCCAATGGGCAAAACTCGCATAGCGAAGATCGGTAAGCGTTTCGCTTACCGATCTTCGCTTTGCGATGCCTGCAGATCAGCTGTTCGGCAGTTTCAAAATGGCCGCCGGACGCCCAAAATGGCCACGCACAGTGTTTTGGCGCCCTCCCCTCGCTTACTGAGGGCGCGAAAATGGCTGCCGGACCCTGGAAACTTTGCTAAATGGTGAGTTTTGTGCCCATTTGGAACGCCCAATGGGCTTCCCCGTTCCGTATAGCGAAGTTTTCACATAGCGAAGGTTAATCCGGAACGGATTAACCTCGCTATGCGGGGCACCACTGTACTTTCATGACCTCATGTAGTAGACAGCTTGGTAAGGCATTATTTCCCTCTCCAAATAAAGCTTTCAAGTTAAAAAACAACAACCCTATCTAATTTCCTAACTTGACACTCTGAAATCACTGGGGCTTGCTTCTAAGTAGACATAGAGAAGGAGATTAGAGAACTGTGAGGTTATGTATGAGTGGAAGAAATAAACCCTTGTTCAGGAACACTGCTGTTCTCGCACTTTTCCTGAGACTGGCACACTAAAACGTATTTGCATGGGGATGCAATCACAAAAATTTCTTTGTTTGCCAAGTGGAAAGCCATTATTGAAAAGAACATCAAAGGATGATGTATAAGAAAGGCACAGAACATAATCAGACTCAAGAGAGAACAAGCGCTGCTTATTTTGAGTGGCGACTCGGGTCCCCCAGAAAAGAGGGACCTTGACCCAAAAGGACAAAGAGCTTTTATGCCTTCTAACCACAAAGAAATAAAGGTACAGAAAAATCCTCATTGGCTGACAAGTAGGTCAAGGGGGTTATTCAGTATCCATTCTATAGGTTAGAACAGCAGAGAGGCATATGTTTTCTAAGTATGCAGGCAGTCCCCCCCCCTTGGATACTCTAACTTGTCTGCAAACTGTTCTGTGGGGAATTTCAATAGAAAATTAGATAGACAGGATATTCCTGGTTGGCCGATATACCCACAGCCTAGCTTCAAAGTGGAGTGAGCAGGTGCACCTGGGACAGAGTCTAGTGACATCAAGTTCAGTGAGAAAAGCAAAGCTTTTCTATGCTGTAAAGCAAACAAGAAGAGTAAGGGTCGGTTGTGTGTGTGCAGTGGAAGCATCCTTTAATAAACTCATTCGTGTTCACACCATCATCACCGCTTGTCCTCTGCATTTTTCACTCTGTTCAGTCAGAGCTGCAGAAGTGATTTGTGTTAACCTTGAGCAATGTTGAAACAGGGTGGAAAAAAAGGGGCCAAAGCCATGGGCGGGACAGAGGCATTGAGGAAAATGTCCTCCACTCATCTTGGGTCCTCTTTGCATTTTAATACAACATTCACAATAGAGCATCAGTGTGGTGTGAGGCTCATGGGATGGCTTGGGCTCGGGGAAAATTTTCCATAGATCCTTGAGCTCCTCCTCTCTCTCTCTCTCTTTTAGTGGTTTGCTCATCACTCTTCTTTGTCTAACTTGGCACCCTGCCCTATAAACCTGTGACTCATCTCGCTCTGGTTTAAGGGGCAGGTTAGGCAAACACCAGGGACTTTGAAGCCAAGTTATTGTGGCTACTGCAGGCTGTCGGTTACTGGAGCAGGAAATGTGAAGTGAAAGGTACTTCTCACGAACGATGTGACTCCCATGTAGAAAGCTTGAGTCTGGAATCAAGAAAGTCAGCCCTGCGGACATGTGAAATTGGGGGGGGGGGATCCAAGATGATGCTGGTGGATTCTGGGAGTTGTGATCCAAGGAAGTTATTATTATTATTTTTTTGCAAGCTCTGTTTTGGAGTCCAGTCGCTTGCTGGGTAGCTCCATAGTTTAGGCACCTGAATGCTGAGCCCGAGGTTAGGAGTCTGAATCCTCCATGGTGCGTCCTGGGAGAAGAGCCAACCTGGGTGGCTTTGGGCAAGCTGCATAGTCCCAGAATGCATCCAGAAGAAGGGAAGGATAGACCACTTCTGTTTATTCTCTACCAGAAAACTGGAAAGAGTCACCATAAGTCTGAATTGACTTGCCTGCACACACACACAAGCATTCAGCAGTACATTTTATGCCCGGCTCAAGGCAACCCCTCTCTGTTCTGCTTTGGCTTCCTCCAGCTCTATGATGCTTTGTTTTGAAAAGTGTCTTTTTATGGAAGAGAGAGTCACTAGATGCTCCCCTCTCTCACCTTGAGTGCTGATTTTCTCTGATGTACACTTAAAAGATGCTTCTGAACCAGCTAATAACTGGTTTGCAGGATATTGTTGAAGCTTCATCAATAATCAAACATATTTTCTTATCATTTTCAGTAATTTTAGTAAATATTTAGTAAATATTTCTTTTTAATTTCCTTTGCAATAAAATCAACTATTTTCACAGTGTGAAAGCAATCCTATTTCCATATCTAAATCATTTTCATTTGCAGTTCAGTCTCATCTTCTATGTCTGAAAATGGTTTACATCTTTTTGACAGGCTGTAAATTGTATTAAATACTCTACAAGTACTACTGAAATATTTTTTATTCAGTGTATCTACTACGTTTGTTATAGTATCCTGCTCACGTACTTTGAAGTTGTCTTTACAAATGTTATGAGCCTTTGATGAAAAATGTTCTTTCATTTTTTTTCCTTAGAGAAGCTTGTGGCACCTTTGTTTTTCCCTGAAGCCTCAATCTGAAAACCTTTCCACTCTTTTAACACATGAACACCTTTCTCTTTTATGAAATCATATTTTGCACAATACTCACAACCTAACCTTTTGTTAGAAATTCCCAGTCCTTCATATTTTTCCTTAAAATTTTTATATTGTTGCACTGACCAGCTTTCAGGAAGACTATTTACAATATTGGAGTTGTTGTGATTTTCTATTTCAATTGACGTGCTGCTTTCTTGAGGCTCGGTTGGTTGTGCTAGTGACTGTGTTGAACCTTCCCAGGCCAATTCTGATACAACAGAAGAATCTGACTTTGTTTTCTTATTGAAAAAAATCTGTCAAACTGTGTTGCCTTTTCATCGTTAGTTTCAAGGGCTACGTAGATGTCACGGTCATACGCAAAACTGACCTCCGACTGGGACACAAGGTCTACAGAAAACAGGGATTGGCCCTCTATTTCTTTTTCCATGGTAAATTGTATATTTGGATGGATGCTGTTGAGATGGTTCAGAAATTCGTCCAGTTTCTCTTCACCATGGCTCCAAATTGCAAAGGTGTCATCCACATATCGGAACCAGACGGTGGGTGCGATGTGTGCCGAAGCCAGGGCAAGTTTTTCGAAATACTCCATGTAGAAGGTGTCTCGGGCTCTTCCGCAGGGTAGCTGGTATGGTTGCAGCAGGACAGCCTCCGGGGGGGGGGGGCAGAGGCAGCATCCTCTGCCCCCCTCCTCTCCAGAAGTTTCCTTCCTTTGGAAAAAGCTATTCAGCCTGGAAAGCAAGAGGAGAGGAGTGGGCCAGCAAGGTGGGAAGGGCCGCCAGGAGGAGGGCCAAGGCCCTTCCGCGAATGGATTTCTTTCCTTGCCAACCTGGGTGCCCCACCTTTCTGCTTAGAAAGGACCCAGGCAGCCAGAGCGTCTCCAAGGCCTGTTGGGTGGTCTTGGATGAATCCTGCTGGAGCCGGCAGCTGCTCCTCCTCCTCTTCATGATGTTCCTCACAGATTCTCTCAAGATCATCAGCAGGGCCTCCCGGGTCTCCAGTCAGTGTTCATTGAATCCAAGGAAGCTGAAGTCTCCCTCTACCTCCCGCTCCTTCTCCTCTTGGGGCTCCTTT